GGGGTAGGAAGAATGACGCTGAAAGCTTTTTCTTTGTTACCTGCAGAGGAGAAGAAAGTAAAGAGCACTAAAGTGGAATCAAAAGTTAAAAAGGACGTGAAGGATGGAAAAGGAGAAGCAAAGATGGCTGAGAAGGTCAAGCAGGCAGAGACTAAAACAACAGAAGTTGGGCTAATAAAGGCCAAACCGAAGGTTAAGGAGGAGAAAGCTCTTCAAACTGTAACTAAATCGGAAAAGAAAGGTAAAAAAATCCAGGAGGAAACAGACGAAGATCTTAAAAAGGTAGTAGGGAAGAAGCAGAGAGAATGGAGCTAAAGCTGTCAAGGACCAAAGTCCACTCATGAAACACAAAAGTGCAGTATAAATAAATTCCAGATGAATCTCACACTTCTAGGAGGAGACTATCGAGAATAAAATAAATTTAATCTATATCCAGAATGTTTTAACTGTTTGTCATGGCTAAAGATTCATTTTAGTTTAAATCCTTCTTTACCAAGGACCAATTTCTTTTCAGATAGTCTTCATGGATTTGTCAGTAACATTTTGTGAAGCGTATCTCTAGCAGAGTTATTTTGGAAAATATAGACTGCCCAATGACCTACTGGGAATTCTTTTGTTTCTACATCTGCATATGTCTACCATAACAATAAAGAAAGCAACAGAGAAAAGTGAATGTAATAATTTGTCTTACAACACATTATATGAGGCATTGTCACATTGTCAGGTAATGTATGACAAAGTGATATACCTTTGCAACTGATGCAATTTAATGTGAATGGCTTCCAAATTTCTCCTAAAAAGGAAAGAAATGCCATTACCCTGGTGAAAGGTAGAAATTAAGTGATAAAACAAGGACTCAACATGCATTAAGGTCAAACAGAGATGTTAAGTATATTCTCCTCTTTGTCAGAGACAGGCTGGGTTCTTCCATTCCTAAGTTTCACTGACTAGTTCCTAATTTCCCTGTGGCACTTCCATGGCGCTAGGTACAATTTTGTATGAATGAAGGCATCAGGACCTGGCTCTCTGCATGAACTACTTACAGGGCAGGCACAGGATTATTCTGACATTAGTAGAAGCAGCTCAACATTTCATGATGCACCTATTTGATCCTTTCAGCTGATAACCACAAATAAATTGTTATCCCTGAGCATCAAAGCAGCCATCCCTGCCTGGATATCTGAATCTGCCTGGGCAGATTCTCTCAGAATTTCATAAACATCAGCTCTGGACACCTTGGGAGTTGCCTAAGTTACATATTTCTAGAAATCTGAGAGATGCTCCTTTTCTGACACGCATAGTGAGCTGAACTAGTTTTTTTTAACATTTATTTGTGTTCTAGTGAATTTGGAGGTTTACTTCAAATATTGGAGCCTTTGAGGCATAGAATCAAAGCAATATTTTTCATGCTGATCACTGTGACCAAGGAGAAAATTCAGAAAATTGTCAAGTTCCTTTGGGAGGTGCAAATCTCATTCAGATTTTGTTTGCTCTGACAGAGTTTCAGTTCACAGTGGGATCCACTCCATACTGTTCAGGATAAGGCTCTCAAAAAGCAATGGTGTGCAGATGAGGCACTTTACTACCTGACAGCAAAATATTTTAAGTAAGTGGAGGTCCAGGATTACAGACAGCAACAGAGAATGGGTGGTGTTATTTTGGTTATTGATTTTATTGTTTTGTTTTTTGTTTTTTCTTCTTTCCTTTTTTTTTTTTTGTGGGATTCCTCTTTTAGCTGATGAATATTAGCAAAATTATATATCTTAACATCAAACATTAACAGACCACTTTGTATGTGTGCTTTAGAGTGTGACCCCAGTGAGTGTGCACTGAACCCTGGCAGATGGAGTGGAGGAAGGAAGGAGCCTCTTCAATTGCCCTTATCACTTGAGATAGCGCTACACACTTACAATGAAGCTGCCTTTTCTACTTTTGTCCTTCCTTTTTCCACCATAAGCCACTTCTGCCCAGCTGGATACTCTCAGAAAATTCAGTTCTTTATTTCAGTCCCACTGTGACCCAAGGTGAACATAATTTTGAAGTCAATACAGTTTTGCCAAGATTTTGTGAACCTGCAATCCTTCCTTTTCCTTGCTCTGGGGACTAGTTCTGACAGCTTTTCTGCAGCAAGGTAGAAAATACAACAGTAGTCACAGAAGACCTGTTATGATTTCCTGCTGTGTTATGATTCCCTACTCAAATTAAAAAAGATAGGTCATCCTCCAGGGTAAATCACATGGGGTCTACTGACAGAAATATCTGTAACTGTTTTTATCAATAAGAATCTAGTCACAAATTTTGATGTGATTTATTAGTACTCAGATGAATATTTGTGTCACTATTTATTAAAGAGTTATAAGGTGACAGCTATAGCTTTAGATTTCCTTTTAAACAAGACAGTTTAAATTAAAATGAATTTTAGCCATGAAGAGGCATTTGGAAAATCATATTTATTGAAAATTCCTTAGGTTTCGATGTTTCCTGATTGGCAGAATTCCCATGAACTTCACTGGGATGTTATAGTGCACTTTATTATATCATATACAGTAGAAAAGCTGGTTTTGTTATTTGGGGTTTAACATCCTGTCCTTTTTATTTATTTTTTTTTTAATAAATTCTGTTTTTTGGGGGTTGAGTTACTAAAGAAATCCTATAAGGAGAAGGTTAATACAATATCTTTGTTCTCAGGTGCAATCAAGATTAATTTTTTGGGGTTTTTTTAAGTTTATTCAAATTATATTAAAAAAATCCAAACAAACAAACCAACAAACCTAAACAAACCCCCCCCAACCCAACCAAACAAATGAGACCACCAAAGAACAAAACCAACCAAAAAATAAAAACCCAACCCAACTCAGACACCCACACTCTATTTTAACCCTGGTCTGTATTAGTGTATTTAAGGAATGGATTATTTCAATATTTCAAGGCTGTGTGGATACCTCATAGCAGCCTTCCAGTATCTGAAGGGGCCCTACAAGGGTTCTGGAGAGGGACTATTCATCAGCGACTGTAGTGATAGAACAAGGTATAATGGGTTAAACTTGAACAGGGAAGTTCAGGCATGACCAGCAGGTCGAAGGAGATGATCCTGCCCCTCTACTCTGTTCTTATGAAACCTCACTTGGAGTATTGTGTGTGGTTCTGGTGTCCTCAACACAAGAAGGACATGGAGAAGTTGGAGCAAGTCCAGAGGAGGGCCATGACAATGACAAAGGAGCTGGAGCACCTCCTATATGAAGACAGGCTGAGAAAGTTGGGGCTGTTCAGCCTGGAGAAGAGAAGGCTGCGTGGAGACCTCATAGCAGCCTTCCAGTATCTGAAGGGGGCTTATGAGGAAGCTGGAGAAGGGCTCTTCATTAGGGATTGTAGTGGTAGGACAAGGGGTAATGGGTTTAAGCTTAAGCAGGGGAAGTTTAGGTTAGATATAAGGAAGAAATTCTTTACTGTGAGGGTGGTGAGTCACTGGAACAGGTTGCCCAAAGAAGTGGTAAATGCTCCATCCCTGGTAGTGTTCAAGACCAAGCTGGACAGAACCTTGGGCGACATGGTCTAGTGTGAGGTGTCCCTGCCCATGGCAGGGGTGTTGGAACTAGATGATCTTAAGGTCCTTTCCAACCCAAACCATTCTGTGATTCTATGAACACTAATGAAATGGCGTGAGCTGCTAGACCCTCAGTCTATGTCTATGTCATAACCCAAATAGAACCAGAACAGGCTTGTGCTCTGTCCTGTGGTTGTCCATACAGTTTATGTCCCCTTGCACAATTTTGCCCCATACCTTATAGCAGTCTTTTATACAATTCCCCAAAATGGTCCAGGGTCTCTTCCTAGTGGACAGCGTGGACAAAGGCAGATTGTTTTGGCAAAAGAGGGGTAAGGAAAAGTCAGCTTTTTTGGCAAGAGTTGTGCCCTACCATTTGCTTTCTGAGGTAAAGTATACGAATCGGTCCATTTTATTTATTAACACTTACTGAGGCCCTATTTGCAAGCACAGTGAAGTCATTGCAAATGCTGTAGTGGCTTTAGAAAGGCTTACTAAGAGTGCAGATTTGTACATTCTTGTTTTCTCACACATATGCGACTACTTTTCTTCAGAAAATTGGCACATGAACTTAGTACAGATAGTGCAGCCGAATTCTTTAGAATTCCATTCTTTAAGGATGGAACCCAAAGCTGGAAGCAGCCAGAATGATAAATTTGAATTCCTAAATACAAAAGTAGAAACTATTATGAATAGTCATGAAAGGTTTTAAAAGCAATGTTTAGAGCCAAAACCGTCTGTATCTCCTGAAAGGTTTGCCCCAGGTTCTACAACACTGGTTAGTATAATTCGTACCATCTCAGTAACAGGAAATCACTGCACATGCTCCTATCGACTAGTAGAAACAATTGCATATTTGCTGAGCTTGCAAACCCTCTCCTAATTTCTACAACTGCATTGGAAATCCTATTTTGAAAGCTGAAGTTCTGCACCCAAGGTCTTCTGTGGCAGTCAACATCATAGAGCAGCAACCATATAAATGCCTCATTGACTAATACTGATGCTTTCATGAACTATGTGAGAAAGAAAATAATATGATGAATGTTATATACTTGGGAACATCATTTTGCAATTAAATTTAACAGTGTCTTCCAATCTTTAAATTTTAAATATTAAAGTTTGCATAATTTTATTTTGAAGTTCGCAAAGACAAAGTAAGTGGCTTTGTAGGTGAATAGGAGAGAGATGCAACAGTAGGTGGAAAGAGGAAGAGATGTAGTTTAGGGACTGTACTAAAACAGTCTAGGACAGACAGATTAATATGTCTAGATCAAGGACAGTTGAGAACTAATTAGCTAAACAGAGTTGGCATTTAGTCATCAACATTAACTTTCAAAGTTAATATCCCTTAGAGTCCAGTCAGGCAACATGGCTTTTTTCTGGCCAATTTGGGAATCCATCAATAATAAATTCTTCTGCATTCAGTTACAACTGGCAACTTTTCTTCACTATTCTTAATGTTAGAAATTTTTTTAAGGGCTTCAACTCTGCATATGTAGGAGAAATCAATAGACAATGAACATGTCTGAAATCAGAGTTTCATTTAGATTCAAAAGCCTTAATTTCTCGATAGTGTAGTTTATATACATACAGATTTAATATATACATATGTGTGTCTGGAAAATAATTCTGTGTTGAAGTGATAAAATTCTGTGGAAAATCTTATTGCTACAGGAGTGTAAGTACAAGGAGTTCTCTTTATATCCCCATTCACTAAATGGATGTATCGGTTGTACTG